TCTTTCCTGCTCTTTTCCTTAGAGTCTTCTATATTTAGTTAGTCATCTTTGCTGTATGTTACTTTAAATTGTGATTGGACAGTCTTCCAGTTTTGAGGGGACCTCTTTGTCAGGGGAATTCCTGGGGATATAGCTCCTATTTGATGAAATTCAGAGTGACTAAATTAACAAAGGACTGACTAAAGATAAGATTCTTTGTTTGAACTGGAAATCCTGTTTTACCAGCAACTATTTCTATGGAACCCTATCATAAAATATGTATGTTTGTATCTTCATATTCTGGTATATTATTTTCTGCCAAACAAGATTGTGAATTTATGGATATCACGATCTATGTGTATGTCTCATTGGGAATTTGGATCTTAGCCTACGCACTTCCTACACTTGACCTTAAAAATCCCAAATGCAGATGCACCATTTGAACTAATTTCCCCAAACCCCCTTGGTTTTTGCATTCAGTCTCTAAGTGTATATGCATCTCTCAGTCCCATACCAAAGCCCTACACTTGACAGGATGGAGGGAGCTGGTGGGGAAAGTGAGACCTGCAGAATTTCTCTAAGAACTTGTATAGCCAGCTAGCTGCTGCATGTCAGCAGACTTTTGTGAGTTTAAATGAGGGAATAACTTCTCTAAGGAGATTTTCACTGAAAGCTTCAGAGCTTTTTTTAGCAAGTTATTTACCTTTCAAAATAGTGGACCAGCTCCTGTGAGACAGGAGCTAAAGTGCTAAAGGGGGACAGCGCAGGGTGGGAGAGGTCACTGTGTGTTGATGCTGCAGTTTCTTCTGCTACATGCTGATATTCTCTGGTCGAATAGAATCCAAATTTTTCTATAACATACATAGCACCGCACACTGCAGAGGGGGGAAAAATGTCAGTGCTCTCAGTAGCATGGGGTGCATCAGCCATGGACAGAGATCTGCCATTAGGGATGCCATTTGAACTGCTCCTTTCTGAGCTGACAGAGGTAGCAACAAGGCATTTTAACTATAAAACATGCCAAGAATTCAAGTCTTTCTAAACTCCTAAATATTTAAGAAAGCCACAGATGGATCCTATTGTTAATTTGGGAAATGCTTATCTCCAGAAGTACGAATCTATTTATTTGTATGCCAACAGATTTAACTATACCAGAGGGACAGGACAGTATAAAGTCCTGGGAGAAGGCTGAGCTCACTCTTTGTGAAAGGCTGTGAAATGTTGCATACCTAATAGCTGTACACAACTGTAGGCCTGAAATGCCAAGGTTCAGCTGAGATCCCAGCACTTTACAGATCAGGACTTTAATATGTAGCACATGCACTTAGTAAAAAACAGGTATCGGTGATTTTCAATAGCCACAAACAAAATTTCAGGTACCAGTTTCTGGTTTTCTTGTTATCTGCAAAATAGACACTCCAGAAATACTGGAGGTTTGACACTGCTCAGGTGCAAAACTCAGGGAAAGGTTTAAGGGCAACGGGTGCAAGCTGGAGCGTAGGAGGTTCCACAATAACATAAGGAAAAACTTTTTCACTGTGAGGGTGACAGAGCACTGGAACAGGCTGCCCAGAGAGGTTGTGGAGTCTCCTTCTCTGGAGACATTCAAAACCCACCTGGACGCGTTCCTGTGTGACCTGCTCTAGGTGGTCCTGCTCTGGCAGGGGGGTTGGACTAGATGATCTTTCAAGGTGCCTTCCAATCCCTAACATTCTGTGATTCTGTGATTCAGTGATTCTGTGACATTCACAGTAAACAAACACCAAGACTGTCTCTAAGCATCAGTGCCAGGACACGTGTGACAGCACTATCACCCTCCTTGCACACAGCTGATAGCTGAAAATCCTAATGCAGTGAATCCTGACGCTGCTGAAAATCCCAATGCTGCTGAAAATCCTAATGGCTCAACTCCCCTTCGTTCCTCAGTATAACCATATAACCTTCAAGGTGCTTTAAGCATGTTCACATATTCTCAAAAGCAAAGAGATGTAAATTAAACTCGATTATAAACAAAAATTATAAAAATAAAAATATCCTAGTTGGCCAAAGCCACATATTTTTGCTGTTTGCATACACTTGTATTGTGGCTTTATGACAAATCATATCCAGCTACTCATCAATTCTCTATAGAAGAATTACTAAATTATGCTTTCCCACTGTGTACACTCAGAGAATGTCGCATAATGCAATACCAACTTAAAACATTGGGTATTGTGTACTACAATGTGATTTTATTTACTTAATGTGTATAACAAGAAAAGGTATAGTTTAAATTCAAGCTGAGTGGAGTACAAAAAAAATGTGCTGCTGTGCTGGCATGTTGGAATAGCATAATACTAATGAATCAAAAGAGAATCAAAAGAATTGCTTAATTTATGCCTTTAACAAGTTTAACCACACACAAAGCCAACTGTCATCGCCTTTTACTCTTTATCTTCAACAATTAGCAGAGCTAATGACTTCTCTTGCTTTCTGTATGAGACAAGACGTGATTCAATCCCCACTGGAAAACAGTTCACACAATACAAGGAAATGCACAAAGGGGAAGGTGATCTCTTTTATCTCCTAATGTTTATCTAGAGTTATTCTCCTCAAGCCCAGTCAAACAGTATGTCATATCTCATTATTTGGAAACAACTTTAGAGCTCTGAACACAACTGGAGCTTTCATGCTGGCTTTCAAAGGTATCTTTTCATGGCTCTCACTATAACATCCCAAGAGTTACATAGATCTCTTTATGTAAACATATGCAAGGAGCACCATGGGTTTACAAAGACTAAGTCCATGAGAAAAATGCATATAAAGTCGACAGAATTACAAAATGAATGAGAGCAGGGGGACCAGCAGGCATCAAAGAGCTGGGAGTCAGGAAAGCATTTGATAAAGTGCCTCTCCAAATATTATCTCTCATTGGCTTAGACATAAATACTGTCACAGGAACTGTCTGAAGGACTGCAAACAAGGAGTAATAATAGACAAGGGGTTTGCATCTCGTGTGTTCCCTATAGGGACAATCAGTACTTCTCATTTCACAGAGCATCTCCACTTGTGATGTGCAAGGGGGAATAAAACAGCTGGTTAATAAAATATGTAGATAAGTTGAGAGGAGAGGGTAGGGGAACACCAATGAAAGCAGGAGAAATAGTACAAAGAGCCCTACAGAGTTTAGAAATATGGGCAGGAAATAAGTGAGATGCAGCTCATGGAAAACGATACACTAATTTATTGGGTGGAAATAGCACTCACTGTGGGGAAAAGTATGGAGGGCAATGATGCACTTTTCAATTTGACAGAACAAAAAACGCTGTTACAGTTTTATGGCACTGTCCTTGCAGAGTAGGGAGCAAGGAGTGGAAGATTCCCTTTGTGCAGCTGTGGAGAGGGGAAGCTGGAAATACTGATCCTGATGTTAACATGCACCAGTGCCTGGTGTGATCAGGCTTCACTGACTATAAGAA